GAGCAAAGGGAATGTTGTCTATGTTTCTTAGTGGGCAATCATCCTAGACAAAAGAAGTCCTAGGAATGATATTCACAAAGTCAAGGAGCATTAAATGATTAGTACTTTTTGTTAAAGGAAAAGGACAAAATCCACAATGCTTTTGGACTTCAACGGCTACACAGTACAACCGCATTATTAAATGCTCCATGCCCAATGGATATTACATGCTGGTTAATAGGTTCGAAATTTCATCTCCCTCCAACGAATGAATTTTTCCTCACCTATAAATACCTCTCTTCACCATTGAAGAAGGTGCTGGTTGGTCAACTGATTTTATCTAAGAAAAGTTCTTCAAACAAGTTCATCTACAAGCTTTTCAAAAGCCAGTGTGTGTGATTGTGAAGTTTTCAAACAAGATCATCCAGATTTATTCTTCACAATCATCCAGGGAGTCTTGCATCTTTATAAGAAGATTCATCCGACCAGGCCATCAAGTCAAGACTTGAAGCAGTTGGAGAAACACATCAAATTCATCCAACACTTAACTCTGAAGAATAAGTTGATAGAGGCGGAGTAAACTCTAGGAGTTGAAAAACCTTTCAAGTAGCTGTCCGGCTTAGTGATCAAGGAAGCTAGCTTGAGTAGTTTGTACTAGCAGTGATAGTGCAAACCCTTTCACGAGTTGTGAAAGAAGAGTGGAATATGCTTTGTTAATTGCCAAACCATTATAAAAATCCCTCTCTCCATCTCTCTTTACTTTCATGCATTGATTTATCTGACATTGCATGCATATCGACTACACATTAAACTTTCATATCAAAACCGTGCAAAGTTCAAACTAAAACATAAACACAATTTTCGCTGTGCATAACCCCGAAAGGAGTTAAATCTGAAAAATCGATTATAGTCTATTCACCCCCACCCCCTCTAGACTCTCTTTCGACCCTACCATGATCAACAAGTGGTATCAGAGCAGTTACCTTGAACGGTAAATTAAAGGTTTTGTTTTACTGCCTGGTAGATCCTTTTTTTTTTTTTTTTTTTGAAAAATCTCATTAGAAAATCATTAATTTTCAACTTTGCACATCTTTTCTTAAAAGAAAAATGGAAAAGGATCATGTTAATCGCTCTAGGCCTCTTGCCTTTAACCTCTCTAAATTTGATGATTGGAAGGTCAGGATGCAGGCACACCTCTCGGCAATTCACGATGAGATGTGGAATGTTATAGAGGATGGACCCATAGTGATAATGATGGTAAATGCACAAGCAGCCGCTCAGGGAGCAGATGCTGATGCAATGATCCCAAAACCAAAGTCTCAACTTGTACCAGAAGAGAGGACGAGAGCAAATCTTGACAATGTTGCACGAGACATTCTCTACAAATCCCTAGATGACTCACTATTTCCAAGAGTGTGAAAATGCAAAACCGCGAAGGAGATTTGGGACACTCTCATGAGATTAGGAGAGGGTGATGAACAGGAGAAAGACAACAAGCTCACAATAGCCATGAAGAAATTCGAAGACTTCAAAATGCTGCCAACCGAAACAATCACTGAGATGGAGCTTAGGTTCATGAAACTTCTTGGAGATATTTCAGATCTCAAAAAGGAGCTAGCTCAGAAGGAAACAAATCTGAAAATACTTTGAGCACTTCCAAAGTCGTGGGAGATGAAGGTGACAGTCATGAGAGATCACCGAGACTTGAAGACCACTCCAACAACTAAAATCTCCCGTGACCTTAAGGCCTATGAGTTCGAGCATGAACCCAAAGAAGCTGAGGAAACAGAAACTAGAAATATTGCCTTGGCTGCAAGTCAACAACCTTCAACCTCAAGCAGGTCAAACTCTAACCCTTCTGATTTTTTATCTGACGAACAGTTTGCCTTGTTTGTGCGAAAATTTAAAAGGTTTATAAGGAAGAACAACTTTCAAGAACTTCAAACGTTCCCAAGCTCTTCCAACCGAAGGAACTCCAAAAGAACACCTCAATCTTCAAGACAAGAAACGGTGGATGCACAAGTTCTATGCTACAACTGTCGAAAGCCAGGACACTACAAAGCAAATTGTCCTCATCCTATGGTTCGCAAGTACTAGGACTAGGAACCTAGCACAAGCTCACCGAAAGATGTTGTTGAATCCAGCAAAAGAGGTGGAAAGCAAGAACCAAATAATTCTCGACACGAAAGGAGAAGGAAAGCAATGGTTGCGAATGAACCAACTGAAGAAGCCCAACCCGAAAGCAGCACTTCAAGTTCACGTTCTGAAAGTGAAAGTTCGGGAGATGAGAAGGGACTTCTATACCTCTTCAGTCAAGAGAAAGATGAAAGTGATCTATGCCTAATGGCCAATGATGATGAGGTAAACTCTCGAACCTCTTCATCTACTCAAATAGAAACCAGCTCGGATAGTGAAGGAGATCCAAATGAAACAATCTTTGAGATGATGATGGATTTCGAGGTAATCAAAAACACAAACTCCAAATTAAAAGCAGAGAACTCTCGGCTAATGATCATCTATGATGAGCTAAGGCGCGTTAGAATCAATAACATTAAGCTAGGCATCGCAAATGATCAGCTCGAGAAATAGGTTCTTCTTCTTAAGGAGCAGTGTACAGAAAGAGAGTTACGGGAGCAACATCTGCGTGAGGTTCTTGACTCGTTTAATAGTTCATCCAATCTAATGGATCGACTAGTGAATGGATCAAAACCACCACGGGAAAGAACCAAAATTGGTTACGACCCCAGCTCCTCATCACATATCTTATTGAACAAACATGTAGACAATTACTCACATGAAAGTTTTCAGTCTATATTTGTTCAAGGTCGCACCCAGATGTCTGAGCCTATGACACAAATTGACAACAGCAAGAAACCACAACCAACAAGCCAACCGAAAGGAAAGGCTGTACAACGAGTTGTGGAACCCCCATAAGGAAATCTCTTGAAAAGCAATCCTAGGCATAATAATGTCAAAAGGAATGTACCAAAGGTAAATAGACCCAGTCTACATTACCAGAAAGGTCAGCCTACAAGGAATAACCAAAAAGGGGTAAATGCTAATGTTGATCAGAGGCAAAATCGTTCAAAATATCAACGAAAGAATCCTTCACAAAGGAGTCAGAAAGATGAACGAAACAGAGATACTCAGCCTAAGAGGTCGCTTAGAAAACCAATGACGGGGAACGGATGGAGTGGACCATCCGAAGAAGATTGGCTTGTTTATCCCGAACCTTTATCAAAAGCAGAATTTGAAAAGATTCATAGGCATAAACAAACCAACTATTCTAAGCAGTATCACAATCCACCTGATGCCTATTTTCAAAGTCGATACAAAGCCAAAAAGTTTGCAAAAATTTATTATGCTTATCGTGTATTTAATGGATACAAAGGACCGAGGATGAGTAACACCAACTCTAGGTTCGTCTGGATCCCAAAATTGTCTGCTAACCCTCAAGGACCCGAAACCGAAGGGGTACCTAAAAATACATAATTTTTTATTTCAGGAAAGACAAGTCATATGGTTGGTGGATAGTGGATGCTCACGACATATGACCGGGGACAAATCAAAATTTGAGCAATTATGAAGAAATTGATGGACCAAAAGTCATATTTGGAGGAGAATCCAGTGGAAAAACTCAAGGAACTGGAGTCATATTTGAGATGGTGTATAACTTCCTCCTGGAGTATGGCTCCGGGGGAACCCTAGCGGACGAGATTAATAAATTAGTGGAGGGGCCTGAATTGGAGGTGAGGTTTCATACTAGGTCTTTGCTTAGAGGCCGGGTTGAATCATATCCATGTCACTGGCTACGTTCATTGTGATTTGAAGCCTAATAATATATTTTTAGCTCCTTGTTCTGGAGAGGTGAAGGGTATTGGATTATGGGCGAAAATTGGTGATTTTGGACTAACATAGAGAGAGAAACAGAGCTAGGATTAAATGGTAGAAGGACTAAATTCACTACTGTGACATGCTATGTGAAATTCCACAATTGTTCATGGTCTAAACGGAGTTTACCGGGATTAAATGACAGAAGGACTAAATTGACTACTGTAACTAACATTGAAGGATCGAATCTGTCCAAATTAGAAACTAGGGACTACATTGTAAATGCGCTATTAATTGAGGGACCAAAAGTGCGATTCTCCCTTTTAGATGCTCTAAATTTTGGATATGTAGCAACAAGCTTGATAATTTGATGTTAACAGTTTAAGGGCCTTTTAAAGATTAAATCTTGATCCTCTTGCATATTGAGTGGAGTGATCTGATATGTGCCCAGTATACAAAATATATATTGTGGTAGTTATAGATTAAATAATGCTCAGTATTGTTGGCTTGTTGTTAACATCTTGTGCTATGGAGTGTTCTTGATTTCTATGTATGGAAGAGTTTCTTTGAATTCTCTCAAGTAGAGAGGATGTTGTAGTTTGAATTGAGTTGAATATGCATGAAAATGATGATATTGTAAATAACGTCTTCCATTGCTAAATGTACACTTACTAAGCTCACGTACTCATGACATGAGTGATAGATTATTTAACTGGGTTCTGATTGAGATATATCTTACATTTAAAGAATGAATTAAGTGAAACTGAGAAAGCGAATCAATTTTAAAAATACTTTGTGCTACACAAACTTTACATTTTTTTCTTGTTTGTATTAATCACACTGGCTTGATATTTTTTAATTTAAACACAAATATTTGTACGTATGTAGAGCAAAAAAATAATGGAAATTAATTGTTGTACGTAGTAGACAGTAGTTTTCAACACAGGAATTGCATAACTTAGCTTCCAACAACAAAACGAAACACATACTAATACGTATATAAGTAACAACCAAATCCAAACAACATCAGATCAGAGGAGCTTAATTGCTAGCTACCAAACCAGACAAACTCCTCCATGTTTAATTTGGATTATATTATTATTTCTGACCTTTATTTAGCTATATATATATATATATATATATATATATATATATATATATATATATATATATATATATGGATCATTTATTAAACGTAACACTGACGTTGAAGGAAGCAATATTATTATTATTATTATTATTATTATTATTATTATTATTATTATATAATAAGGTATTTAGCAAGGCCGAGGCTTGGTGCAGGAGCAGATGTTGCGGGCGAAGTTGCAGGTCCCATTGGCGAACCCCTTAGACTTGCAAAATGTATTGCAGTTGCTATTCGAAAGTTGACCACACTGGCCGTTGAACTGGGACAAGCATGGTGTGGGACTCGCAGCCATTATTCCCTTCTCTGCAGAATTAGAATAAACACTCTCAGGATCATATATGAAAGAAGAAATATATATATATATATATATATATATATATATATATATATGTTAGGGAATTAAGGTATGCATTTACTTAGATCGGTTGTGGAGAATTGGACTCCATCTAACGAAACAATTTAAGGGGAAGCGGAATTGGAGAAGAGCGAGCAAGCCCGGGATGACCTTGGGATTTGCTTGACCAACAAGCTCTTAGCTGAGGCCATGCCTGGAGCCCGCAGCCCCTAACCACTAATTGAGAGCGAGAGAGCGTACACTAAGTAAATTCAGTCTTTTAATCTCAGCCAACAAATGATCACAAGAAAATAAACTAACTTAAGTTGTTTATCGCTGATGGCTCAAACTAAGAAGGCTGCTTCCAGTCACTAGGAGTTGAATTTTAAACATTAAAAGAAGAAATATATAATGGAGAGAGCTGAGGGAGAGAGCAAACCAGAGGCCATGAGGAGCATCACAAAGAGTGAAGCAGTTGCAAACAAACGAACATAAGAAGAAGAAGAAGAAAAAGCCATCGAATCTTTGTTAATTGAGAACAGTACAGAAGAAGCTTTTTGCTTAGGGGAAACGGGAATGGTGTCACTTTATAAGTGAGTCAAGTCTTTTTATAAGTCACAATTTTGAGACTGTATCATGCTGTCATAACTTAGTTATACCTCACCATGTGCATTCATCCATCAATAATCCATACAAATATGTTACTTGTATTTTTTATAATTATGATAAGATTAATTGGAGGGATTAAAAACGCACGTGCGTATACTAGACATTATGATGTGTGCATATTAAACATGTGTTGTGTGCAACACAACAAGGACATGCTTATATATATATATATATATATATATATATATATATATATATATATATATATATATATGTTCAATTTTCCTAAAATTCCACAAAGTTAATTATGAAAAAAACTTCTTGCAAGTTCGGAGTAGGTTTTGAAAACCAATAAGATGTATATATCTTAGGAAAAATTGGCAATTTCGGCCGGAATATGAAATTTATTTAAAATATTTAAAAAAAAAAAAATTAATAGATGAGTATGACTATTCTGGAATGAGTGACTTCAATTCCATGACCGTCATTAGACTAATCAGATTGGACCATTTTAAATTGGCATATCTAGGTTGGGCAACTTGGGACAAATCACCTAAGCTAGGTCCTTTTTTAAGAAAAACTTAACTTGGCTATAACGTAATATTTTTAAGACAATAACCATAAATTTTTATGTTCTAAATAAATTTTATTATTTTTGTAGTTCTTTTCTTTTGGCTCTGTATAATTTTATTGTTTTTTTTTTCTCGCCTAGCATTTATTTGATCGCGTTATTCTTGATATTTAACTAGTTATTATATAAGTATTAACTAATAGTATAAATTTAATTCAAATTAAATAAATTAAAATAAATCTGTATTATAACATACCCCAAAAAAAGCAGGGGATTATTACGTGAAACTACATAAATTAAACTAAAAAAAAAAATATGAAGAGAAAAAATCAATAAATTTGTGCAATTTGGTTCATATCTTGTGATCTTAATTAGTTGGAGAAGAATCACAAGATGTAAACCAACATAGATTGCTCATAATTAATCGGTTCGAACTATGAAGACCAATAGATAATTCTCACAGAAAGTCGAATGTTAAATCTTGTGGTTATTATCAAACACCTATTAGACCAACTTGATTGGAGTTACGACGTTGCGTCACTTTCATTGAATTTTAATAAGCTGCATCCCTTTCTAAATTTGTATCTTCATTTTTCAATTGTGTTACGTGACCAGAATATACAGTGACTATCTTTAAAGAATGATTACCAATATAATAGAAACTTATAACTAAAAATTTTTTAATTTATTTTTGGGAGAAGTGTCAAATAGGTTCATCTACTACTGCGAAGTGCTCAATTCACACCCTGAATTAAATTAAGTGTCAAATAAGTCCATCTACCAGCTAAATTTGTTCGATTGACTTTTTTTGCAGGTTGCTAACAAGTTACCTATTCAATTATTAAAAAATTCAAAACTTGCTTCTTAAAGGTACGTTCTTTTCTCCCTCCATTTTATTTACCTTATCGTTGTATGCTTCGAACTGTTTATTTCAGTTAAAATCCAGAAAAAAAATGAAACACATATCGAAGGCTTGATGGGTAATCGAAACCCTATGGAGTTCATGTATTTTGCAATATTAATATATAGATAGATGTCATCCATATTTTCATTCCAATTGATGAATGCTTTTCGATATCTCAAGTGGATTCAGTATGGTATGAACAGTTATCTATGTTTCTAGATATGGAAGTTGAAAAAATTGGGGATATTTTACACATTTGGTGATTGTTTTTTGATTAGTTGAAGCGCATATCGAAAGCTTGGTGGCTGATTGAAAATTTGAAAGTTTGAAACCCAGAATTTATATATATATATATGTGTGTGTGTGTGTGTGTGTGTGTGTGTGTGTGTGTGTGTGTGTGTGTAGGGTTGCATTCACATGCAAACTCCCTTAAAATACAAACGTGCGGACAAAAAAGAACCATTAGATTTGCTAAGATGAACGGATTAGATGCATTCCCTCCATGGACACACGGATTGCCAACTTATAACCACAAGGGCAAAATTGGGATTGCACACACACACGTAACAAGCGGAAGGAGTCACGTCTTTCCAAACTCCTATAATTAAGGGGTTGCAATACCGGTAGAATTAGAACACCCCACGTACAGCGCAAACAATTCCTTGGAGAGAAAAAATTGCCCCAACACCCAATCATGGACGCCCGACCCGACTCCATCGACGACGCAAACGTGAGAAATCTCGACGCCGATCCCGACTCCATCGACGACGCAAACACCAGAAATCTCCACTCCAACCCCGACCCCATGGATGATGCACCCCCGGGTAAGAACACCGTGTATTTGAATATTCAATGATCTCTTATTGTGGAACAACAGTATGCGATGCAATGTGTGTATATTACTGTTTGGGAATTATAAGTAGTGCATGGTAGGATAGAGTATTGAATTCTGTGAACACATTTCTGCAAAAAAGGGGACAAAAAACAAACAATATTTCGTTGAATACATGTAATACAAATCTGGGAAAAAAAAAGGTATGGGGAGAATACGATGTGGGGGGAGGCTGCGTACATAGTAGTGGTACGCATGCACCCAGAGACATACACGCATGCACACCGTACTCTCTCCGTAAAGTTTATCCCCACACATACCACAATAGTACTTGTATTCGCACATAACACAAATTTGAAATACAGGCGACCAACATGGTGAAGGCACCGGGACGGAGTGCAACCTGGTCGTATTACCCGATGGAACAAAACAATGGCTACCTAACTGCAACAGTGAAAGCACACCGTATGTAGGGCAAGAATTCGCAACACTGGACGACGGAATAGAGTTCTACCGAGCATACGCATCCATTGCTGGATTTGATATCAGGAACGGCACAAAAAGGTTCAACCGGGAAGGGGCAGTTCACATAAAATACATTTTATGCTCACGGGAAGGATACACACCAAGAAAAAAGGGAAGTAACATGGTGATGGACAAAGGAAACAACACAGAACCAAGGAAACGACGCCGACTGTCAAACCGAGTGGGTTGTAACGCCCGAATCGCATTCACAAGGCGCAAACGCGGTAGCTACAAAATCCATGCACTCGAGCTATGGCACAGGCACTGCCTATGCTCCGACATTGGAAAACAATTTCTGAAAATAAACAGGCAGTTGGATATTGGACACAAAATTTTCGTAGCAAACTGCGCAAGAGCAAACATTGGTTCAACAAAATCATGGAGACTATACAAAGAAATGGTTGGCAGTTTTACAGACATAGGAGCAACATCCACCGATTTCTGCAATTTTAGGAGGGACTTGTTGGCTTATATAGCTGGAGCAGATGCACAAATGGTGGTAGAAGACATGTACAAAAACAAAGAGATGGAACCAGACTTCTACTTTGATTTTGATCTCAACGAAGACAGGGAACTATGCAGACTGTTTTGGGCAGACACGATATCTCGGATGAATTTTGCCTGTTTTGGAGATGTGATGTCATTCGACGCAACGTACAGCACAAACAGGTACGCCCCACACGGATTAAAATAGTTGATTTTAATACATATGTTTTACATTACATGTTAATATTGTCTAAACACATGCATGCATGGCTGGTCAAGACTGAAAGCATGGTAGGACCTTTCGCTTCTGTACACAAGGCTAATATACTACTGAATTAAATGAGATTGTTTAAAAAAAAAATATTCCCTTAACTCCTGCATGCACAGCGAGTACACAGTGTATGCATGGGTATGCCGCACTATGTTAAAATGAACCCACTAGAAACTACGGTATAGGGTAATTTATGTTAGTAAAGATAGTATGATATGGGTGCATGCCCCCTAATTACTGAGTGCATAGCATAACAAACGCTAATTGGGAATCTACATCTTTGCTACTGTTACACATATTTGTAAATGCAACTCTATTATTACTATTACATGTGTGTGCACTAATTGCAAATCTACACTTACTCATTCAGGTACAAGCTCGTGTTTGTACCGTTTACAGGCGTCGACAACCATAAACGAAGCATTACATTTGGGTCAGGCCTCATTGCAAGAGAGGATGTGGAGTCATACGAGTGGCTACTTAAAAACTTCAAAAATGCAAAGGGCTATGCACCAAGATGTGTTATTACAGATCAAGACCCTGCATTAAAGATCGCTGTACCTAACATTATGCCTGAAACAAGGCACCGATTCTGTATGTGGCACATCATGGAAAAAGTGGGGGACAAGGCAGGGATTGCACTTGCAAAAAACATGGAATTTAGGAAAGCACTGAACAACATAGTATGGGATGAAACTTTAAGTGCACCAGAATTTGAATTGCAATGGGCAGAGGTAATGAAAGCGTACAACCTTGTTGACCATCGGTGGTTCGAACAAATGTACAAGGCACGTGAATCTTGTATACCCACGTATTTCCAAGATATATTCATGGGAGGACTCCTAAAGACAACGTCACATTCAGAATCAGAGAATAGTTATTTCGGCAATTTCACCAATCACCACAACAGCTTGGTAGAATTCCTAATGCAATACAACCGCGCCATAGGAGAACAGAGGCACGCACAACAAAAATTGAACGTAGAGGGCGAAAGTTCATTCCCTGCAACCAAGACCCCATTGGCTATAGAGCGCCAAGCTGCCGCAATGTACACCAAGAACATATTCTACGACTTCCAGGAAGAAATATGGGACGGAAGCTTCAGATGCAGAATCACCTGCGAGACGAATGACAATGGAGATCGGAAGTACAGTGTACACGTGACAGGGGAAAAATTGTTTGAGGTAACACACGAAGAAGCTACTCAAAAAACAGAATGCAATTGCAACAAATTCAACAGGGTAGGAATTTTATGCAAGCATGTATTGGCCGTATTCAAGAACGAAGGCGTGGAAGAAATACCAAGTAGGTATATTGTAGCCCGTTGGACGAAGAATGCGTGTGCACAGCCAATGTACAATGTCGTC